AATTAAAGGATATCCATATCTCAAAGCATTTTCAAGATATATATTAATATGAGACTGCTGATTCAATCTGTCTGTGACTAAAATAGTGCTTCTATCAATATAATTTAAGACGATATTTCTATATATTTGACGACCAATGTTGCTATTCCAAAAAGGTAACTTGTTTATATTGAACTGAAAAGTGTTTCTTTTATATAAATCTTAGTGCTTAATTTATTATAAACTATTTTTATTTCAAGATAAAGAAAATCTTCAGAAGAAAAACTTTCATTAGTTTTTAGTAATATCAAATACTCTGGATAAAAGTCAATTTGTGGTGTGTAGTCTTCTACTGTTGAACATATTAATAAATTATCAATATATCTATACATGATATACGAATTATTGTATATATTTTCTTTTTCAAAATAGTGTAAATAAAAATTAGTTGGAGCATTACTAGCTGGTCCACCCTGTGGAAGTACTTTAAGTTGTTGGTATAATTTATTATCAAAGCTAATATAACTTTCTTTTAATATAACTTCTATTAATGCTTTATATATATATATCCCGGATGTGCACTCTTACCGTGGCTCAATATCTAATTTTTAAACCGTTAGAGGTAGAGTTATACTTACAATTGGAAAAATGCTTTAAATGACGTAAAGAAATACTTTTGATAGTTTTGAGTCAATAAATGTATTGCTGAGAAAATTACGGAGACTAAATTTTAATACAGCCCCCCCCCTTGTCTTATTAGTCATATTTAGTAAAATAATCTTGGCACATTAACATTTTAAACAAAGAAAGTTCTACTCTTGTGCGACCAAAACAAATCGAGTTGTGAAGCTTTGATTTCATTATTTTAAACCATTTCAACGGTCTCCTCGAGGAAGTGTCGCCTCGTTCACTAGCTGGTTTTCCTCAAAAGTGTAGTTGAAATGTTCTAGAATGGCCTTGTAGTGCATTTCAGTTTAGCATGAAGAATAGGGAGCCTTCTTTATCAAAAAATAATATGTTTATTGGACGTCTTCCACAGCACAAACATGTAAATCAAACACATGCACTTACATCACAAACGTTACGTCCTGAATCACATCGAATTCCATCTTCAATCATAGTTATTCTCCTCAGTTGCTAGTCAACGTTAGCAAAAGATAAATATATCATTCAAAATCTATTTTTATAACCTTTAGAAAAGAATTAACGCCAAACGATTTTTTAAAATTAATTTCTTTCACAGCCAAACGATATTTTTAAATTAATTTCTTTTATGACCAAACGATTTTTTTATCTAATTAATTTCTTTTCTTTAAATATTTTAATAATTCTACAAATATATTTTTTTATTCGTTACGAATATTACAACCTAAAAAATAAAGAATTTAGCTTTAATTATCATTGATTTAGTGTTGACAATAGTTTATTTTTGACAAAAAAACATTTTCTGCATTTTAATTTACTTATAAAAACATGTTTTCCAAACCCTTTTGTGCTTTTTTATTATATAAATGAGTAAGATTAGAATGCCTGTAAAGAATTATAATTTTCAAGTTCAATATTTTTATTTCAAATTTATTTTTTTATTCAACTTGAGAATTTTTAAACCTTCTTAAAATTTTACTATAATCATAAATACTTAAGTCACTACACGCAATTTTCATTCACAAGCTACTTAAGCAGATGAAAAAAGTAAATACTGCGTTTGCTTTTTTCATGATTTAGATGTTTTCATTCATACATATCTCCTATTCATTACACATACATTTCATAGATAGAATAGAAAAAATACCTAAAAAGGACAAAACAACAATAATGAAAGCAATTTATCTGGTGCGCGCAAGTGCAGTATCATCCAGGAACAATTGCGAAGTACAAAGATTTAAATACAAATTAAGGGAAGTTTTTAACTGCGATGGAGGTAAAAATGCAATAATAATAATAATAATAATAAAACAAATAAAAAAGAACGAGGAGGAAGAAGAATCTGATTTAAGAATCTGAATCTGCATGGGTGAAGGCCTCTGATGACATTATTCATCAGATTCTTCTTCCTCCTCGTTCTTTTTCATTCGTTTTTTGTTAATATTATTGTATTTTTACCTCTATCACAGCTAAAACTTCCCTTAATTTGTATTTATATCTTTATATTTCACAGACAGCGTATTTATAGGTAAAAAAGTTATTAATACTCCCTGCGAGCCCTATTAGCATCAAATCAAACCTCGTGAATATTCTTGGCCCTTAATAATTGATTAAATAATTGAATTTTTGAACCTAGAGTAAATTCTTCTTGGACTTACTTTGTCTAAACATGTCAGCAAGGTACCTCCAAAAGTATTTGTAACTCATCCGCTTGAAATCACTGGCTTCTCTTATTCTTCTGTACACAAAAGCTGACGTCAGAGATACCAGGACAAGCGTGGCGAACACCGCGATCCAAACCTGGAAAATCCTGACACTAAAAATGAGAAGAAAATTCGGGAGTGTTCTCCCCTCGACTTTCTCGCACACTTCCATTTAAAGATATCACTTTTAACTTGTGGTCAAAAATAATTTTAAGATATCACTTATAACTTGTGGTCAAAAATAACTGTAAGATATCACTTATAACTTGTGGCCAAACATAATTTTAAGATATCACTCATAACTTGTGGCCAAAAATAATTTTGAGATATCACTTATAACTTGTGGCCAAAAATAACTTTACCTACCATCAAACTTTTGCCATTTTTTTCCATCTCGTCATTTTAACACATGGTGTGAGGGATACGAATGAAATGCAAGCTCAAATAAAAAGACAAACCGTAACTGTGCTTGCTCTAGGCAATGTTTATACTGTAAAAGAATAAATTGATGTATTCTGCAGACATCTATTAACACGTCCAACTTATCTCAACTAGTACGCAAGTCAAATTCTTGAATTAAAATTTTTGGGTACTTTTCTATTCTGGTATCCCCGGTTGGGTTGGGAGATGTCACTTTTTCCGCACGTTAACAACGGGAAAAGTGACGTCTCTCCACCCAACCGGGGGTACCAGAATAGACCCCTTTGATGTCAAGTAATTCGGGAAAAACGTATTCTGCAGACATCTATTAACACGTCCAACTTATCTAAACTAGTACGCAAGTGAAATTCTTGAATTAAAATGTTGTTTGATTTTTTGATGTTTGGTAATACGAGAAAAACGTACTTTTACGTCTCCCGCTTCCAAAGTGTTAAAATTTTCTTGCGATAACTTCAGGAAGCTATTGTCTAAAGGGAACGCATTTTAAGAAAGGATGTGTTGAATAAAATTCGAATTTATTTATTAAATAATTTTAATTTTTTTCCTCTTATTTAAACTAGCTTTCCTGCTACTTATTTTAGTGCTAACTTGCCCACAAATAAATGAATTTATTATTTTCACTAGAAAGAATGGCAGCGCATAGTTAAATGAAGACTAAAAATGGTTAATGATGTAATTTCGAGAAGAAGAAAAAAACATCCCATTTTTCACATTGAAGTGTGAAAAGAGCAATGTTTATAATGTGGTAAACGTGAAAAGTGCATGGTAGTCCCGTAAGTTAGTTCCAAAGAGCGTGTAAAGAGGTCGCTAGAACGAAGTTCCTGAGGGTTGATCGTACATTTTTTTTACGATTTCATACATTTTTGTTTTTGGAACTTACAACGACTACCGTTTTTTTATTAAACGCTTTTACTAAGTTCGAAATGTTTCATGTTTGTATGTATGTAAGGTTGGTATTTTGTGATCGATTTTTCACTCACTTCTTACTGCACTGGAGTTCTGAAATTTTGTATATTTATTGGGTCTTGATGGCAATGCAATATTTTAATAATTTTAGAACTCTCAATTATCAGTTTTATAAAAACAATTCGCAAAATTGCATTTGCACTCGGTAGGTTTCAGTGGCGCCATCTATAGTATTTTTGAGAACTAAAATACTTTACATAGTAATTTAAATATTTCAATAAAAATACGTATATCCTATTATAGATCTTTTCAATAAAATATTTGTTGGAATTAGTTCATGGAAAATTGATTCTAAGATTCCAAAATATTCATAATACCGAATTATGACATAAATTAAAGACTAAAAACTAGAAAATAATACATACAAAAAAAACGCTTTTACAAATGCATTAAAAAAGAAAAATGTTATTTTTTCTCAAAAATCTGGAGTTCAAAACAAAAATCGTAACAACGTGAGGCGTTGAAAACAATAGGAGAAAGATATAAAACCACAATGATTATCATAAAAAACGAAATGTTATGAAACATTCATCGTATAAAATATATTATAAATGTGATCACAATTCTAATTTACTTACAGCTTTTCTACCTGCGCCTCACGGTTTTAAGATTTTTGTTCTGACCTCCAGATTTTTGAGAAAAAATTATTATTTCATTTTTAATGCATTGGTAAAAGCGTTTTTTTATATTTATTATTTAGTGCTCAATTTTTAAAATGTGTAACATTTTGAATTGGATGACAACTTTCTTGCTGCAAATAAATCTTCCTTACAATGACCCTTTTCATAGTAGAGAAGGAAAAAATCAAGTAAGTACATGCTTAGAAAAAATAACTTTTTCCATAGGCAGATTCGATGCAGTTCTTCAAATTTATCCACCTAACTCATGACGTTTTCTTATTTTGATACACACGAAAATACAGACAGGTATAATTTTTAGAATGGTTTATTCGAACTTAGGAAATCTAAAACGTCGGAATTAATTGTAATCTTAATGTTTTAGACGCTGGAAATAAATTCTGTATTTCTATTTGACATGCAGTTTAGTTTAGCTTAGTTTTAGTTATATTAATGTTCCGTTTTTCCTAAGCATCACGATGGCTATTTGGGCACGGACCCCGAATTTTTAACCGTGTTCAGATGAAGAGGGCAATTCCTGAGCGGGCACCCCCTCTCCAAACTTCCGCACCACACCAGCGGGAGGGCGTTTGGTTCCCTTCGTGTGATTTAACGTGTAATGGGCCCACATACACGGCGGATCTTCAGTGGTATCGGGTTTTGAACCTGAGACTCTCAGGTCTCGAAGCTGACACCCTAACACTAGGCCAGTGCGGTCACTACTTCACATGCAAGAAAAAAAATAGGGGAATGACGGGTAGTACGGGCCCCTGAAGGAAAATTCAATACATTTTGTTGTTTAATTTAATTTATAGTTATCAATTGTTTTATTTAATTTATATTATTTCTTGGAATAATCTATAACTGATCAAAACTTTTCTTTGGACACTTTTAATCATGCTGATTATATTAAATAAATTGATATAAGCTATGCAAATTACATATCACAAATAATTTTTAAGGCGACACTTTCCAAAAATTTAAATATGTCTGGTAGTAAGGGCCACACTAAAGAACGCAATGTTTAAAATAATAAACATTTTTTGGTTAGAAATGGATATATTCTGTGGTCAAATACAATAGTAGAAATCATCCTATTAGTTATTTAATTGATTTTTCTTCTTTGTAATATACTTCTAGGCGCACTGTAATGGTCGGATGCAGCCTTTTCAGACATTTTATTTTCCAAAAACACTTGTAATTGCAATTAGTTTAGTTTAATTGTATTAGCGTCCCGTTTTGAAGCAACACGAGGGTTATTTTGGGATGCTTCTCGTCACTTTGAACTGCGGTCAGATGACAAGGACGACACCTAAACAATTTGGCCGTGAATAACTATATACACTCTGTCCCAAACGTTTACAGACTATAGTAAAATAAATGTTTTAGCAAAACGAAAAGGCATACAAAAACACCAATTACAAATATGTTTATTCCAACCATATGCGACTTGCATTCAACGAAATATTTAGAAAAAATAACAAGTTTTATTTCAATTATATAACAAAATGGAAATATTAGGCGTGCCAAAAGTTTATAGAATATATGATATTTCAACAAAAGGTTCTCAATACAATGTTCTTAATAGTTTAAAGTCTTTCCATTGTTCAGTATGACATCGTATACACGTTTTTCCAACGTCATATTTAAGGTTTGTAATATCTCTGGTTCCAAGATGTACCGTGCACTTTCAATGGCTGTCTTCAAGGCATTCACTGCATAAAATTGCCCTCCATTCCTCATATACCTTCCGAGACATAATGCACCACACATTCTCAATTGGGTTTAGCTCAGGACTCATGGGTGGCCACTCAAGAACAGTAACATTTTTCGAGTTTAAATAATTGTTCGTAGCATTGGAGGTATGAATGGGAGCATTATCATGCTGATATTCTCAAATTCCTCCCCCTATGTTTTCTACAAATGGCATAAGATGATTTTCTAGTATTTCTATGTATTTAGTAGAATTCTGTCGGCCATCTAAAAAGACCAAATCCACTTTACCGTTGAAACCGAAAGCCGCGCACACCATCACAGATCCACCACCACTTTGCCTACTGAAAAAGCTGCTGGGCTCTTTTAGTAAATCATGCCAATATTTTATATTCCCGTCAGGTCCATCGAGGTTCCATTTTCTTTCATCACTGAAAAGGACAGCCATCCATTTATCATCATATGACATATGATTACGAGCCCATTGTAATCTCTTACTAATGTGAAGCTTTGAGAGTGGTAATCTGCGAGTCATTTTTGCGTGGATCATATAACAAGATTCTATAATTCGTCTGTGAACAGTGTTCTTGGAGAATTGCAACTGGGAAGCCCTAGTAATTTCGCGAACCGACATTTTCTGACTTGGAAGACATTCTTTGTATCCGTCTATCACTGTGAATATCCGTCACACGTGGTCTTCCTGAACGAGGTTTTGTCTCATATGGCGTCTTACGAGTTAATACACGATAAATCATACTTTTAGAACGATTTAAAAGTTTCGATATTTTCTTAACAGTCTGACAAAGCAATTTCAAATGCAGAATTTTACTCACTTCTTCATTAGAGAGCGGCGAAGCTTTAGGCATTTTGAAACGCTGAACAAACGACCGCTTTCCTTTTCTTACAACATATTTGTTAGGTTCCGAATCGACGTCTTGATTACCGATATTCTATTTGCATAAAATTGCATTTGTCTATAAACTTTTGGGACAGGTTATTTCTGTTTATTCTACTATTTAAAAATTGACATTAAATATAAGGGGCAGAACTGCTGTTTTTTCAATATAATAGACATAACATATCTACACAGTAAGTTACATAGAAATACATCATATACAACAAAAAATTTAGGCAAAATACAAGATTCTATAAACTTTTGGGACAGAGTATAGATGCTTCGTGAATGAGAAGTGCGAATTATGAGGTTTCTTACCGTGTAGTGCAGAACACTGAAATAAAGGAAGAAGCCAGCCTCTTCCGTCTTCTTGCCAGACAGAATCGTGTAGGCCTCGACGGTGATGGGATTCGTGAAACGGGCGAACTCTAAAATTTTAACTTTGGGCAGAATAGGGTTCAAAATGAGGTCCACATCCTGTAAAGAATATCAAGAAAAAAACATTTATCAACAATAATAAAAAGTAGTGGGAGTTAGGTCTCCCCACTGGAACTCTAAAGGGCCGTTCCATTCTCAATTGGGTTTAGCTCAGGACTCATGGGTGGCCACTCAAGAACAGTAACATTTTTCGAGTTTAAATAATTGTTCGTAGCATTGGAGGTTACTATATACCGTATATCAGACCGTTTCCATTTTCAGCCTATAAGATTTGGTGGGTCATTCACAGGTCGGATGGTGCAAACCGGAAACACTTCACCTACGGGCAACCTGATCCCCTAGGCCAGTGGTCGGCAAACAGCGGCTAGCGAGCCGCATGTAGCTCTTTAGCCACTTGATTACGTACGATAACTATAATATCTTGTTTTATTTTATGTCAGTAGCTAGTTTAAACCGACTCCTAAAAACTAGTGTTCCTTAAACATAGATAGTTCAGCTATCGATAGTTTTCTACCTGGCGATATTATCGATAGGTGTTCTTCCAGTCGAAAGTTTACAAACTATCTATAGTTCTAGTCGATTGTTTCAGTCGATAGTTTAGAAACTATCGATAGTTCCAGTCGATTGTTTCAGTCGATAGTTTTGAAACTATAGATAGTTCTAGCCGATATTAAAACTATCGACTGAAAATGCGCCTATCGATAGTATTGCCAGGGAGAAAACTATTGATATTATCGATAGTTTTGAGAAAGCCGATATTATCAATTGTTTCAGTCGATAGTCGCTAAAACACGATACTATCGACTTGGCTTCGATAGTATCGATAGTCTATCGATGTTTAAGGAACACTACTAAAAACATGGTTTTTGAAAGGAATTTGGCTATCAAAAGAAATCTCAATCGTTGTACTGCTGATCTATGGCTCTCTTGACTAATGAGTTTGCCGACCACTGCCCTAGGCGACTTCGCCTCTTTCTTTAACCGTCCTGATGATTTTCCCAGACTGACTCCCACTCCCCCATTTTGTAGTTTTCGCTTTTGTGAGAGAGGCTCGGTCCCTCTAACTCACTATTGTTCTATGGCCTACTCCGCCGAATGAAAATCCAACTTTTCCTCCGCTCTGCACCATTTCTTATCGGATTCAAACATTGAAGAAGGGTTTTAGCATGTTGTGTTCCAAGAAACAGTGGAGTGGCCTTGTGGTGAATGTCTCGCTTAAAACTGATAATATAAGCTTCAAAAACAAGTAGGGGATTCGTATAATCATATAACTCGTATAATCATATAATCTTCGTATAATATATAAGACGATAAATCGCATCAAATTAGTGATAGATACTAAAAAGTATTATGATACCTGGTAATTTTGTATAATGAAAATCCAACTGTGAATACATAACACATATTTTTCCCTCGAAGGGAATTTCTCAAAATTCACAGTAATATTGAGATAGCTAAAATTTGATCTGATTGTAGATATGATGTGGGTCGAATGTCCTCCCGCTGGTGTGGTGCGGAAGTTTGGAGAGGAAGTTGCCTGCTCGGGTTTCGCCCTCGTCCAACTGACCGCGGATCAAAATGACGAAGCCCGCTCCCAAAATAGCCCACGTGTTGCATCAAAACGGGACTTTAATAAAATTAAACTTGTAGCGGTTACAATCGACTGCCTTCTCCTTTCTATGGTAGGTGGCGCTACTGGAGCCATCTTTTTCCCATGATGCCTCTCTGTCATTCTTGTCTGTGTGCTTTTGTCTCGTGATGTAGTACTCTGTTTTTGTCTTGTGTGTTGTAACTTTAATGTTCTGTGCTGTGGAACGTAGCCTAATAAAAATGGTTCCTAAAATTGACTGGATTCATCAGCAGCACAACACACAAACTTGAGTCTCGTCCCTCTATAAACTAAACTTGGCACTGTCAATTGATATTGGATTGAATACTACGAAGACTATAAATATAATAAGCGAGATAGCTGTAGGCAGTGGCGGCTCGTCCGTAAGAGCTGCAGAGCTGCAGTCCCCCTGAAATTATTTTAAAACTTGTATATTCGTTTTTATTCTATTTGGTTTACTTTTCCACTTTAAAAGTACAATGATAGTCGAAAATGGCAAAAGAGTAATAAAAAACGTAAAAGGAAGACGGAAAATAAATCAAGAATTAAAACAGAGACAGGCCAGAGCTGCAGAGTGTTTTGCCCCTCCTAGGATCGAAATTTCGCGCATTTAGGTCGGAAGAAAAAAAGCAACCTTTTCTCCCATTGAAATTAGAACCCCGAGAGCTGCCTCTGGAACAGCTCTTTTGGCGCGACTTCCTCATTCAGCCTCTTTTCTCCTTCTCTCAGTAGTCCAGATGTTAAGTAGTTTTTTTAAATCCAATTCTGGAGGAGTTGTAATTTTTTGCTTCTTTGTGTTTTTTCAGGTGCTGACTGCGGATCTGAGGTTTGCCACCAATAATTTTTGTTGGAATTATAGTTATATCCAAAAAACATAAAATAAGTTTCTCCAGTTTTTAGCTTATAACTCAAAAACTATCAATTATTAGTATATCATCATTATATACCAAAATAATCGGCACAGAATTAACTACAACTTAGGTCAATACAACTTCCGCAGCACTACTTGTTTCTGAGCTAACGAGCCGCCACTGGTTGTAGGAGTAAGTACGATAATAA